AGACTGCCGTTTTGTCTCATTGACTGTGTCCTTTGCCTTATAGAAGCTTCTCAGTTTCAGGAGGTTCCATTTATTAATTGTTGCTCTCAGTGTCTGTGCTATTGGTGTTATATTTAGGAAGTTATCTCCTCTGCCAGTGCAGTCAAGGCTACTTCCCTTTTTCTCTTCTGTCAGGTTCAGTTCTTGTGTTCTGTCAGGATTTACGTTGAGGTCTTTGATCCACTTGGACTTGAGTTTTGTGCATGGGAATAGCTACAGATCTATTTACTTTCTTCCACATGTTGACAATCAGTTATGCCATGTTCTGGCTAGTTTCATGTCACCTTGACACATGTTAAAGCAGCAGTTCTCAACCTGTGGGTTGTGACCCTTTGGGGGTTGAACTTTCATAGGTTGCCTGACACCATGAGAAAGCACAAATATTTACATTACAATTCATAACAGTAGCAAAATTATAGTTATGAAGTAACAACAAAAACAATTTTATGGTTGGGGGTCACCATAACATTAGGAACTGTATTAAAGGGTTCAACACCATTAGGAAGGTTGAGAACCACTGTGTTAGGTTCCAAAAGGAGGGAACCTCAATCGAGAAAATGCCTCCATAAGATCTGGCTATAGGGCATTTTCTTAATCAGCGATTGATGGGGGAGGGACCACTATTGTGTGTGGTGGTGGCATTCCTGGGCTGTGGTCCTGGGTTCTATATGAATGGCTAAGCAAGCCATGCTGGTCAAATCAGTAGGCAGCAAGCACCCTTTCAGGGCCACTTCATCAATTCCTGCCTCCAGGTCTGGCCCTGTTTGAGTTCCTGTTCTGACTTCCTTCAGTGATGGACTATGGTATGGAAGTGTAAGCCAAATAAATCCTTTCCTCCTCAACTTGTTTTGGTCATGGTGTTTTATTATAGAAATAGTAACCCTAACTAGAACACTGACACTAAGAGGTATCAGTTGGTTACTCAAGAGTTAGTAGACAAAGAGGAGATTGTAGGGAGACTTAATATTTTATTTAGCATTTGAGATATTCTGTGAGATAAAGGCCTGATAAGGATGTCTAGTCCTTGGTACTGTATTGATGGAAGTCCTCCTACTTTATGATTATTTTTTAAAATTCTGTCTTGGGGTTCCTCTAGATAATTCTCACTGGAGAACATTTCTATAGGACCTAGTGAGTTTAATGGGGAGTTTAATGTAGGCCTTCATATTGTTTGTGGTTTTGTGATGTGACCTGGGTCTGTGGACTTCCTTCATTAGTTATATATCTGAGGTGAGATTCCAGGCTGATATAGAAGTTCTAGTTAGGTTACTGTTGCTATGATGATTGCACAGCTGGACCTAGGCTTGGAAGTTTGGGGATAGCACAGACAGGGTAGGGTTTGGAGGGATATACTGGGCATGACTGTTTTAGGTGGAGATTGGGCAGGCAGGTGTTGTTCTAGAGAAACCCATTAGGCAAGGCCTTTTCATGAGCCACATGTCTGGATCTAGGCCCAAGAATGTAAAGATAGTGTAGGCAGGCTTGGTTCTTCAGGGACTTACCAGGGAAAGCCAGTATAGGCCTAGAAGTTTGGGATCCCAATCACTTTTTCTTTTTCTTGTTTTTTTAAAATTTTTTCCTAATCATTTTTTTATGTAAAATTTATAACTAAAGAATTATTAGCATAGAAATAGAAGAAAAAGAGCCTTTCTGGGTAACCAATAAAGTATCTTGACATGATGTAGTATACTGAGACATATCTCTTTTTCTTTTTTCTTTTTTAATATTTATTTATCATGTGTACAATATTCTGTCTATGTGTATGTCTGCAGGCCAGAAGAGGGCACCAGACCTCATTACAGATGGTTGTGAGCCACCATGTGGTTGCCGGGAATTGAACTCAGGACCTTTGGAAGAGCAGGCAATGCTCTTAACCACTGAGCCATCTCTCCAGCCCCCAACTGAGACATATCTCACACATTTGAATTATATTGAACTTTTGTAATTCAGGACTTTGATTTACATGTTAACTTCTTAGTTACCCTTTGAGTATTAATTCTTTGAGAATTTCATGCAATATGTTTTGATTATATTCACTCTACTCCTCCACCTAACTCTACAAGTCTATCCCCATCTCCTTCACCCTCCTGACTTTGTGTCCTTTTCTTTTCTTTTAATATTCCACTGTATGGATCTGCTTTCCATGTATTTCTGGGCGTGGGGGTATCTACTAGAGCATGGTTAATCCATCAGTAGCCATACCCTAAAGAAAACTGGTTTTCTCACTCAGAAGTCATCAGCTGCCAACAATAGCCCTTCAGCTAGGGGTGGGGGCCCATGGACCTTTCTTCCCTCTATGCTGAAATGTTAACTTGCTTGATCCTGTGCAGGCAGTCTGTGCTGCTGTGAGTTCTTGAAGTGCAGTGGTTCTGTCATGTCCAGAAGACACTTTTGCTCAGGTCTTCCACTACCTCTGGCTCTTATAATCTTCTGCCTCCTCTTCCATGATGGTCCTTGAGCCTGGTGGTCAAGGGGAAGACAGTGTTAGAAATGTCCTATTTGTTGCTGGATGCTCTACAGATACTTATTTTCTGAATTTGACCAGTCATGAGTTTCTGTGCTAGCAACTGTACAAAGAAACAGACCTGATGAGGTCTGAGAGTTGCATTAATCTGTGAGTATAGAGCTATGAATTTAGACAGCAGTTTGATACTATATCCACTTGTCAAAATAATATAATAGATTCACTTCTGGGATCTGTGAGCTCCCCAGCCATGGGTTGTTGGTGGTATTTGAAGTATTAGACATGTGTTTCCTCCTGTGGAGGGGGCTTTAAGTCCAATCAGAAAACAGTTTCCCCATAACACCCCTGCCACTGTTGTATTAATGGGCCTATCTTGCCATGCTAATTTTTCTTATTGTTCACAGAGTTCACAGCAAGGTAAGACTGTTGTTGACTTTTGCCTCCTAGCAGCCATCATTGCACTTTCTATGAAAGCTAGCCAGCAGGGAGGAAGCTCTAGTTAGTACCAACTTGATTCCTCCATCATGTAACTAGTGTGTGGTGCTTTCAGTGATACGGGCTCATCATCAAGTTTTGGGGGACAACCAAGAACAGCGACAGTAACCTGCCTGGCTACTGGCCAATCAGCATTCTATTAAACCAATAAAAGTGACAAGTCTTTACAGGCTACAAGACCATCGTCCCACAGCTCTGTAATAGATAATTAAAAATTAAAAACAATTTTGGTTTTTTTTGTGGAAAAACATTACACAACATATTTTGATGTTTTTCCCTTTCACCATTTTTTCCAGATCTTTTCCACCTCTTTACCTACTCAACTTTATGTTCTCTCTGTCCTTCAAACAAAACAGAAAACAAACAATAGCCGCAACAATAAATATCCCCACAAGAAACAAAAGAAAAAGCAAAAACCAAGAAACAAAAACACAAAAATGAAATTCAAAACAAAAAGCAAAAGAAAAATAAGATAAAAAGTTTCTCAAACAAAATAAAATGAAACTAAAGGTTCATTAAAGTACAATTGATTCTGTTTTGTGTTAGCCAACTATTCCTGAGAACGGGGCCTTCCCTGAAGTGTAGTTGATATTTTCGTTGAGACTTCATTGGAAAAAACTGATTTTCCCTTTGCCAGAGGGTATCAATTCCATGTAGTTTCTTGGTTATGGGTGGGGCCAAAGTTAAAATCAGTTTTTATACAGAATCTTACTTTGTAACCCAGACTGGTTGTGAACTTGCCATGTATCCTAGATTGGCCTTGAACTATGTTTTTTAGGGTATCGAAACCCTCCTGCTTCAGGCTTCTGAGTGCTGGGATTGCAGACTTGGGCAGCTATGCTCACCTTGTCTTTTGATTTCTCCTTTCTTGAAATAGCTGTTCTTTACTAGACCTAATGTGTTAAGATATGAGCCTGATTCCTTTTGGTTCAGTGGCCTTCCTTGCCATACTTTACTTTACTCATACTTTGGATGAGCCGGCACATTTGAACAAGTGTTTAAAGCCTACTGTTGAAGGATAGGTAGGAAAAAGCTGCTTTACCCTGATATCAGCACACTGGGCTAGGGCATTTCTTTGTGCCACGACTCAGGACTGTAGAGATGTGATGCCAGTGTTCTTGTTCCTGTCCTGCAGCTCAGGTATTAGCAAAGATCAGGCAAAATGAAGTGTGTCTGAGTCTTTGTAACTTAAACCTTTAAACCATTCTCAGTATGAAATGGAGGGATATTAGATTCCAGAGAAAGCAGGTGCACTTATAAGTTTGTTGTTAGAAGTTAGAGATATAAAGCAGGGATGTAAATCTTTGAACTAATTTACAGAAACAATCATTTGGTGACTTTCTAGGAGTAATAAAGTTTCAGCTTAGCTTTGTCTAGCAGTTTCCAAGTTTACAAGTGGTCTTTTGGTCCAACTTTTTGAGGTCAGAATCTGTTTGTTTATTTTAAAAATGTGCATGATGATTCCTTATTATAGTCAAGCCTCATAAACTAGTTGTTCTCCCATTGTATATGAAAAATGAATGGAATATAGTTGGTGTTGCTGTTCATCAAGCAATTCTCCAGCTGGTCACTAGAGGACTCCAGAGGCTGCAGGATGTTGCTGGGGGCCCTTCTGCTGTCCCAATGTCTCCAGTGTGTCAGATAGTCTGTCATTCCTTGATTAGAACCACAGATGGAAATTTGCAATGTCCTTTCTTATGGGAAGTGCTAGGAAAGTAATAGTTAAAAATCTTTCTTCAAAATGCTGGTATGATTGATTTTTTTTGTGCTTTAGTCCAAGTTTATTATTTTTTAAAATATAATTTTGAAAAGTCACTCTAAACATAAACCTTAAACAGTATTTTCTCTAATAAATATAGATTTATATAAAACAATATAAATTTATTAAAAATAAATGTACATTTTCTTCCCATCCAAAGGATGGCTCTGTGCTTTCAAATAGAAGCCTAGTTGCTCATGAGGTGATACAAGTATTAAAACACTGTTGTTGTTGTGTTTCCAGGGGATCCGAGCCCGAGTTTTGGAAACTCTGGTCATGTTGCTGCTTCTTGCATTGCTGATTCTTGGGATGGTGTGGGTGGCTTCTGCCCTGATTGACAGCGATGCTGCCAGCATGGAGTCTTTATATGGTACATGATTACTGTTTTAAATTATTCCTATGATGGGCATCTGAGTTTGGGATACAATTATATGGGGTTTTAAAACTTTAAAATAATTCTTTGTGCAGTTAACTCTTTTACAGAATTTAGATGTCTTTAGAGATATTTAAACAAAGCAATAAATATTCATTTTTTCAGAAGACTAAGCTGTTTTCCATCTATTTTTGTTTAATTAGTTTCTATTCTTAAAATTCCATTGAGTATTTTCTCCCTTTGAAACATTTTTTTTTAATTTTTTTCTTCCTTCCTTTTTTTCTTTTTTTTCCTTTTTCCAAGACAGAGTTTTACTGTGTAGCCCTGAGTGTCCTGAAGCTCACTCTGTAGACCAGGCTGTCCTTGAACTCACAGAGATCCAACTGCATCTGCTTCCTGAGTGCTGGGACTAAAGGCATGCATCACCACTACCACTGGCTCAAAAGGGTTGTTTCCTATTTTTTTTTTTACTTTAGATATTTTTATTCTTAATTTAAATAAGACCATTTATGCACTCAGATAGGCAGTTAAAATTTTTTTATCACAAGTTACTATTTATTAAGATAAAATATAAACTATTTTATTTGCTACACTTTCTTATTAAAATGCATTGATATTTTCACAGATCTCTGGGAGTTCTACTTACCGTATTTATACTCCTGCATTTCACTGATGGGATGCTTGCTGCTTCTCTGTAAGTACTCTTCATGGTGACACTGGCAGGACAGTGAAGTCTTGTCCCTGGAAAACTGGCAGTTTTCCTGATGAGATTTCTTAACAATGGAGTCTGGATTTTGAGTTGTCCTTAACTTTTTTTTTATTATTTCAGATAAATTTTAATAATTGAAATAATTGGGTGCTTTTCTTCCACTATGTTGGACACACACCCACCACAAAACTAACATGTTCCCCGTATATCTCCCACTCCCACCCCATGTGCATGTTCTTTACATGCACTCTAGCCCACCTGTAACACTGGAGTTACTTTAAACGGAGAGAGTAAAATTCTTTCTGATGACTTTGTAGTCTTTATTTCAAAATTTGTTTGGTTTTACTGAAGACATCATACTCTTCTCAGGAATAGTATAAGTTGTCAAACATAGTTCAAAGGACTTGTGACTATAGTTGTTACTTTAGATACTATTTTCTGGCTCTCAGTTCAAACAGGTTAAATGTTGTATTTTGGGGGGGGGTTATTTAATTTGTAATCTTGACTGTTGTAGTCTTTTTCCATCCTCACATTCCATGTGCTATGCATGGGCTCCTCATGCTGTGCTAGCTCTTCTTTGGTGGAGTTGAAGGCCTTCTGATGGAGTGCCTGGTGAAGCGAGGTTGGAGATGAGGATATACCTAAAATGCTCTTGCAGCTGATTTTTCTGTTTTCTCACTAGTTATTTCATTTTTGCAGTGTGTACCCCAGTTGGCCTTTCCCGTATGTTCACAGTGATGGGTCAGTTGCTGGTGAAGCCAGCGGTAAGTATTTTATTTTATTTGGGTTTGCTAAATATTTATGTTTATATATTTGATCATATAACAAAGATTTTAGAAAACTAAGGACAGTATTTTTTAGGTTTATCATTCATTTTTTTTCTAAAATCACTTTTTTAATCTTTAGAAACAAAATCTGTGTTTGCTTTTCAAAGTGCTAGCCATATGCACTTAAATAAAAGTTTATGTAGAAAATTTTAAGACAAACTTTGCAGGTGTTTGTAAGTATTTTGTGTGTTCATTGCCCTGAATCCAACAGTAATTTTATCTGTTTTAGAATTGATCACACAGCTGACCATGGTGTTAATATCCCTGATTCTAGGTTATGAGAGGCTTGGGAATCGTGAGCTCAAGACTAGTTGGGCTACAGAGTGAGGAGAGCTGTCTACACATAAAACTAATAAATCAACCAAAGCTCCCAGACGAACACAAAACAGAGACAAAAAGAAAATTGACAGTATTCATACTTGGATTTATGAACCAGTTTCTGAAAATATACACGTTGTATCTTGAATTATACTTTTACTCTTAGAAATGACTTTTAGTGGGTAACAATATAATGATCTGTTCTTAGTTCTCTGATCTTTGAACTATTTTTTACAGACAATAACTTCTTAGCTATTCCTTAGACAATCTGCCATTTATCATTTAAGTTCCTTCCCTGGCTCCTCATTGCCTGCAAACTTAGATCTCAGCTATCTACACATTTAGGTTTCTCAGTGTTCTGTGTTGCGCTTCTCTTCTGCTCCTGCACAGACTCTCATAACAGTTTGAAGCTGCCTTGCTGTGGTACACAGGGCTCTGTGCTGTCAGTTCCAGGCTTGCTCTGTCTCTGCAGGGCAGCTCACCTGCCACTGCCCCCAGCATACTCCTGGAGGGAAGTCCAGATGCCACTGTGGTCACTATTGTACTGCCTTCTCCACATTTACCAATGCCTGTGGCTTGTGTCTGACCAAGGCTATCTCTGGAGCTATTTTGGCCCAGGGCCTGTCCTCTCCTTGTGGTGATGTCATTAAGGAAGCACACTGAGGCAATATTATGGTAGATGATCTTTCAGTTATCTCTTATTTGATTTTGAAAGTTACAATCTCTCATTCAGTTTCTTTTAAAAGAGGTTTTATGATACCGAATTCATTTAGTTTCTTCTACTTCTATGTTCTTTTTTTTTCTATTTCCTGTAGACAAGTTTTCAATTCCCACTCATAGTTTCCAGTTTTGTTACTGCTCTACCCTGTGCCCTGGACCTTCTCTGTCATTTGAACCTTATCTACAGATGGTAACGAGAAGAGGAGGAATCCACTTATAGTCTGCTAAGCACTGTTGACTAATGCAGAGCTGCAGCTCCACCTTCTTGTTTATAAAACCAAAGTACTTCTGTGTCACCTGTCTCCATGCCGCCTTTTAACAACACCTACACAGCCTTAGTTGTTTTTATTTTCTTTCTTGTTCCTAATAGCCAGTGAACATGACTAGTTACTGAGTAATCATGCATCTGCCCCATGCTGGTTCTAAGTGCTATATGCGACACACAGTTTCATGTCATCTTGACAGGCCATAACGTGGGTGTTGGTGGCCTCATTTTGTAGGTAAGTTGGCTTCAGGGAATCTGAGTAGTTAGTCACAGAGCTGTGTAAAGGCAAGTTTGAACCCAGAGCCCAGGCTCCAGAGCACTATCTTCTAGTCCTACAAGAGCTTCAGAGTAGCAATTTCCTCCTCATGAACTTGCCTCCTTTCTACCTCTGTGTTTACACATGGCTTTCTCTACCTGAAGTGGCTGTTCACTTCTCAGAGTTTAGGCTGTCAATCAGGTCAGGTATTTTAGCCATCAGAAACACTGGCTCAGTGTTCTTTCTCTTCAACTTGAAGTACTTTTTCCCTCTGACCTTTGCTAACATTTTATTTAAGCCTCAGTTTTGACATTTATTTTAATCTCAAAGTTACTGTTTGAAATTCTTATCTTGGTTGCTCATGTCTGAGTTCCTGTTAGTCCACAGTAGTGTTGAGCCAAGGCCCTGAAGGCACTTGGAGTTTCCCTGTGACGCCTTTGCTCCTTAGAGCATGAAGTAGAGAAGATTCTGGAATGCTCAGAGGCACATGATATACACACATTTCTGTGCTTCTCCTCTTGTCATTCAGGTGTGGTCTGAATTAGCAATAGTTTATACTGTGAAATGAAAATCCTAAAAGTGTTAGGACTTAGGACAAGTAAATGTGACTAATTTAAATTCAAACAGCTGGAAGTTATGGGAAACACTGATCGAGAGGAGAGTTCTTGTCTCTGCCCCCTCACTGAGAAACAGTCTTGGGTTACTCTCCCTTTGGTTATCCAGCCGGCCTCATCATAAACCATTCCTGCTTAGGACCCCATGCTTTTTAGCCTGTGTTGCTTTTCAGCCTTAGTAAGGTCGCTGGAGATGTCTTTTTCTCCTTTCTCCTCGCATGTGATGGTCATTCTGTATCATTATCTATTATTTACTCCTTCCTTCCTTCCTTCCTTTCTTCCTTCCTTTTTATTTTTATTTATTCATTGTGTTTCACTTCATGCATCTTGGTCCCATTCATTTCCCATCCCTGTGTATCTGCCCTCTGTCCTTGAAGCACCCCCCCCCCCAATTAAATTTAAGAGAAAAAAGAAAGAAAAGAAAAAGGAAAAAAATTCTTAGCGTGGAAACTATAGCATGACATAGGATGTAATGCAGTAAACCCCTCTATCCATATATCTTAACTTGCAAGTGTTCATTGCAGAGTCTGGCCCCCTTGCTCATCACTGCAAAGGGTAAACTCAAGAGAACTCACGCTGGTGGTGAGGACAAGGGAGAGCTGGTGGGTTGACCAATACTGCGACTACCCAGGCCCAGAACCAAGGTTGTGGGTTGGTCCTCCCCCAGTATTCACCTCATCTGTGATCTGCTGGAGCCTGTGAAGGGGCCAGTCCTGCAGACCCAAATCTATTTTTTCTTTATTTTGTTTTTATTGTTTTATTACTCCCAGGGTGGATCTGGTGATAGATACATCTGTTCAATGATAGCTGAGTGCCAGGCTGAAGGGAATGGTAGATACTTGTGAAAGGACTGGAACACAGTGGGTTGCTTTACGAATGTGTTCAGGTGGGAACCACATGCCTTTAGAGCAACTTGTCGAGTTGGCAGGTGCGCAGAAACAGTCATCCCATCCTTACTTTACTCCAGCAACTCCTCCCTTTTTGTTGCTTTGCTGGAATCAGTAGCTCGGGCTTGAGTGATAGGATGCACTGCCTCAGCTCTGCTGCTTTCACGCTCTCCAGAGACAGAACCTTCTAACAGAACAGTTAGTTAACAAAGCCAGAATTGAAGTTTTGGGTTTTACTGGTTTTGAAGACAATCAAGACACTATCCCACACAGCTGGTGATTGATGAGCGCTCTGCCCCCTCCCCCCATTGTATGGATACTGTTGAGTGTTTGTGTGTCAACACACTGCTTTTCTGAGGTATTGTCTTGGATGGATTTTATGAGCTCAGCTGCCAGTACTCATGGAAGTACTTGCTGTATCAAGTTAAAAAATGGGATGTTCTGTGTGTCTCTGATAAAGTTTATGGAACTTTTGTTTTATTTTATTTTTATTTTTTGTTTTTTAATATTGAGGCAGGGTCTTATTGTGTAATTCTGGCTAGCCTAGAACTTGCTATGTAGATGAAGCTAGTCTATATGTGGTTGTGAACTGGCTTGTGACTGGTGGGAAGCCAACTCAGGCCCTTTGGAAGTGCAGCCAATGCTCATAACCACTGAGCCATCTCTCTAGCCCCCAGTTTACAGATTCTTAGAGAATAGGTAAAAAACACATGGGAGATAAATATTGTACTACATGTTCTCTTCCTTTTAGCTTGCTCATATAGATGTATTTGCTGTGTTTGACTCTGTTTAAAATCCATGCCCTTGTTAGCCTTTGAGAATACTACTACAAAGTGTAACCCTTTAAGCCTTAAAATATCCAATTTAGATGCATTTAGATTTTATTCTATCAAGTTTTGAACTGTTTGGTTAGTACTAAAATAGGAAAACATAAATGTCTTCAAAATAAAGTATGTAAAATATGTTTAAATTTTTCACAAATTAAATAGTTTGGACATTTAATTTTGGTGTCCTAGTTATTTGAGTCAATATAACACATGGTCTTAAAACAATAAGCTGCAGAGCCTGGGGTGTCCTATACTTGAGTTGTCTCACTGCGTAATTAAGTAGTTCATCTTTTTATTTAGATACTTGAAGACTTGGATGAACAAATTTATGTGATTACCCTAGAAGAAGAAGCACTCCAGAGAAGACTACATGGTATGTATGTTACATAGTTAGATCAGGTAGAAAAATTAATTCAATAGAGACACACAGTTGAAGAGTGGAAATATATACCTCTCAGAGGTTTACAAGTGACAAAGAGAGCTTGTGAGAATTGGAGGGAGATGGGCCAGGGCCACATGGTTGGCTTTCTGGTAGGCAGTGGCCACAACAGCTCCTTAGACATCTGCACTTAAGGTGCTGCAGGTCTGCACACTGCCTCAGTGACTCAGGCCTGCTTTTCCCCTTTCTGTTGAGAGTTGAAGGTAAGAGTAACCTTTCTTAGGAGATCCTTAGGAGCACTGTTAGCTCATGTGGTTTTTATACCAGCCTTGAGTTTAGTCTTTCATTGCTGGAATTGTTCTGGCTGGCAAGCTGCCTTAAAAATGATTTTAGGGAAACTCCTTAATAATGTGTTGCTGTGACTGGCCACTGTAGGTTATTTCAGGTGGAAACTAAGAGGCTAAATTGTTTATAATATAAATGATTCTAGGGCCAAGTTGATATTTGACTGTATAAAGAATTGCAACTTCTGTGGTTTATTGGTTAGCATCTGCAGAGGGGAAAAGCTAGACGATAATAACATTTCATGATTTGCTGTTTTAAACTTTTTAAAAAATATTTGTTTTATACATATATGAATATATTGCCTGCATGTATGTCTGTGCACCATGTGCAAGCAGTGTCCATGTATGACAGAAGAAGGCAATGGATCCCTTGGAACTAGAGTTACAGATGGTGTGAGCTGTCATTTATTTGGGTGCTGAGAATCAAAACTGGGTCCTCTGGAAGAGTAAGCAGTGCTCTTAACTTCTGAGCTATCTCTCCAGCCCCAACGATTTGCTACTTTTAGGAAAGAGTAGAAGTAGGCCCTCAGTAAGGTAAGTCATCTTCATGGATTTTATTAAATATTTATTTAATATAATGTTAAATGCATTTTGTTGTAGCATTTATTTTATATTTTAAATTATAAAGCAAAAAGTATGTTTTACCCTTGCTCTGGGAAGAATTAGAACAGTAAGAATATCAGACTCTAAAAGTGCACTCATGTTGCTGCTTTATGGGACTGATGGTGGCATTTTACTAGTGTGTGTGCTGGAGGTTATTATGACAGGCAGCTTTGGGATATCTCTTCTCTCCAGTGCATTCTTATAGTGCCCTGGAGAGACTCAACACTTGGCTGGTGGTAAGAAGGACTTGTTTTACCTTGACTGTAGCATGATGTGTAGTGGCATGGAGTTCCCATGTCCCTTGAAATGTATTAGTATAGCTGAAACATGGAATGTCTGACTGTGGCTTCTCCAGTGTTCTCCGACACTTGACAATGCTGTTGTAAAGCTGTTGAGTGGTTTCGTTCTTTTTCATAAGCCATTAATGAAATAGCAAAGTTGTGTTTGTTTACAGTGTCAGTGTCCTGAGGAAGCCATTCTGTCCTCAGCCTGTTCCCTTTCTCTTCCTGATTTTGCATCAGATGTGAAGATGAATTAAGACCGTTTCAAGATGATAGACTAGTTGACTGATGGAAAATGAATAAATAAACAATAAAAATAAATAACACTTTAGTGCCCAAACACAAGAGAGAGGAAGAGGGATCTACAGAGTTCTACATATGTGGTTAAGGCAGCCACTGCCTGATGCCCCCTCTTAGTTGGCAGAAGTAGAGGTACAGCTTCTGAATTACCTGTGATCATAACAGAACTCCATGCTATTCCTCACATAGTCTCCCTTCCATGCTGCCTGGAGACTTAAGGCAAAGGGTGTACTTAGCCCTCACCTCACTCTCTGTGACAGGTCACAGTAGATGAGTTTATAGTGTCTGAACTCCTGCCTCTGTATCTCTGAATGCCTTATTTCTGATGTAGTTTCCATGTTCCCTAGTTCCTATAACTTTGGCACGTGCTGCTTATATCTGAGGATTAATCCACTTGTGACTCCTACATCCTTACCCCTCCCTTTCCTTACTACAAACCCTCCCAATATACCCCTCATTTTTCTCTTTCAAATTCATGGCTATTTTGTTCATTAATTGCTTTTATGTACATATATTCATAAATACAACCTACTCAGTCTGTATAATGTTATGTATGTTGTATGTTTGTATTTGGGGCTAACCATTTGATGTTGACTCACTACTTGGCATGCTCTTTCCTGGGGAAGACTATTTCTCAGCATTACTTAGTTGCCTATAGTTCTTTGTATAAGGTTGAGGCCTATAGAGCAATAGAAAAAGAAAAGGAAAGTAAAGGGATACAAACAGGGAAAGAAGTTAAACTATCCTTCTTTGTAGATGACATGATAGTAAACATTAGAGATCCCAAAAATTGTATCAGAAAACTTTTAGAAACAATAAACAAACTCAGCAATCCTTTCAAATAGCTCCACACCCTGGTGACTAAACATTCAAATATATATGCCTGTGAGGGCCATTCTTCTTCAGACCACCACACTTCTCTTCACAATAGCCTCACAGAAGATAAAATACCTAGGAATAAACCTAACCAAGGAAGTGAAGGACCTCTACAGTGAAAAATTTAAACATCTGAAGAAAGAGATAACATCACTAGAACATGAATAACATCTCATGTTCATGGATGGTAGAATTAATATTGTGGAAATGACTGTTTATCCTAAAAGCTATTTACAGACTTAATATGATCTCAATCAAAATCACTATCTCATTTTTCACAGAAATAGAAATAACTATTTTAAAATTCATATGGACCCACAAAAGACCTAAAATAGTCAAAACAATCTTAAGAAAAAAGAACAGTGTTGGAAGGATCATCATTCCAGATCTTAAAGATCAATTACAGAGCCATAATAATACAATTAATATGGTATTGGCACAGATATAGACACAAACCTGTGGAACAAAATCCAAGACCCAAACATGGGTATTCATGACTTCAGGCAGTTGATATTTGACAAAGATGTCAAAAAGATAAGCTGGAGAAAAGAAAGCATCTTCAATAAACGGTGCCTGAAAAACTGGATGTCCACCTGTACGAAGACCTTATCTGTCACCTTGCACAAAAACTAATTTCAAATGGAGTGAAGGATTGAAGGTGAAACATGGAACACTGAAACTGCTAGAAGAAAACATAGGCAGTGCCTGCATGATGTAGGAAAGGACTTCCTGAATAAGACTCCATTCACTGAATAATTGAGGCTAATAATTAATAAGTGGGACTTCATAAAGCTAAAAAGCTGCTGCACACCTAAAGAAACAATCAACTGGGTGAAGAGGAAGCACATAGAATGGGAAAGAAACTTTGCCAGCTATATATCTGACAAAGATTAATACTCAGAATATATATATAAAAAAACCCTCAAAAAATAGAGCCAAAAAAATGAACTATCCATTAAAAAAAATGGGCCTGGAACATGAACAGAGAATTCTCAAAAGAAGAAAAAATGGATTAAGAAATATTCAAAAATGTTCACAATCCCTAGCAATTAGGGAAATGCAAATCAAAACTGAGATTTTATCTTACCCCAGTCAGAATGGCAAAGATCAACCGAATAGTTGACAACAAATGCTGGATGCAGCATGGTGGAAAGGGAGCCCTCATTCACTGTTGGTGAGGTTGCAAACTGGGGCGATCATTGTGGAAATCAAAGTACTAAAGCTAAAAATACATTTACCATGTGTCTTAGTTACGGTTTCTACTGCTGTGAAGAGACACCATGACATGGTATCTCTTATAAAGGAAAACATTTAATTGAGGTAGTGGCTTACAGTTTTAGAGGTCTAGTTCATTATCATCATGGTGGGGAGCACGGTGGCTGGGAATATGGTGGTATACAGGCAGACATGGTGCTGAAGAATTCTACATCTTGATGCCAAGGCAATAGGAAGTGAATCAAGACACTGGGCATGGCTTGAACATATATGAGACCTCAAAACCTGCCTCTACAATGTCACACTTCCTCCAACAAGGCCATACCTAATTCAACAAAGCCACACTTCCAAATAGTGCCTGTTATATTCAAACTACCATATCATATGACCCAGTTCTTTCACTCACTCATTGACATATGTCTGAAGAACTTGACCTCAGACTCCACAGATACTTGTTCAGCCATGTTCATTGATGTGCTGTTTACAATAGCGGGATGACTGACTTTCCTCAGATATTCCTCATTACCTCAGCTGCTGGCCTTGCTTCCTGTTTCTTCCTCCACACTTGTCACTGCCTATACCCTCTCTGTGCAGCCTCTTCTCTTGGCCCTGTGGCTGTCTTAGCTGTGTTCTGGCTTAGGTCACCTTGCTCAGATGCCAGCACTTGTCTTTATTCACTGACCCAGGAACTTAGCTGCTACCATTCTGTCCTCCCCTCCAAGGTGGCCCATTTTCATCTGCATGGAGACACATGTACCACAGGAAACCGCAGGAGGGGAGGGAGTGGGAACTGGATTTGGCATGTAAAATGAGAAAGGATAGTTTTTTAAAAAAATAAAATAAAATAAAAACTAAAAAAATTGTTTTTACGTTATCCATACAAAAGTTCATCTATAGGAAGATAGAACCAGCCTTGAAAAGCCCAGTGTAGTGAGGACAAGATCATGTGTACTAGGATGTGTGATATCAGCCCTTCCCCAGTCTTGTGTTTGGCCACCTGAAGCTGAATGAAGAAATACTATGCATGTTTAATTTCCTGGTCTGGGACACAGACCATGTCATTTTGAGTTCCACCTCCACCTGGCCTAACAGATTGTCATTTGACAGGTCTGTGGTGATCCTAGAAACTATAGAAACTAGATACATAATCCGCTATGACTGACATAGCATATGACTTAGCTTGCAGGCTGGATGCTGATGTGTCAATGGGACTACCAGAAGCTGGAAAAGGAGGAGTGGGAAAAAGAAGAGGTGATGCTCAGAGGTACAGAGTCTTAGAGGAGCAAGTATTAAGAGTTAGTGTACTATATAAAGACCACAGTTGATAATGAGGACAAGTGCTGGCAAAGATATAGGGACAGAGGAACACTTATTC